CCTCCTTTTTTCACTCTCTCATCGAATCAAACTGAACTTGGTATTAGGCTGCCCTATTGGGTTAAAATACCATTATTGTTCTGGTAAAAACACAACCACATCGTTCCTGGGCAAGGTCATAGTTTGGGTTTGACACACATTTCACCAAGGTAAGGCTTTATTTAAGAGAATTTAACGTCCATCTGCGATAGTACCTACCCAAATGGGTGGAGAGCTTTGAAACTCCCAAAAAACAAATCAAGTTCAAAATGCCCCCTTTGAGATTCGAACAAAGACCACCCACTCCACAGCTTGCTAACCTGGGCAGTATGGTTTGGTTATTTCGGTGGGTGCTGGAGATCACCCGCAGAGAAACAGGTGGAATTTTTCTGTGCTGCTTGGAAATACAAGTGGGTGGGCGGCACGATAATATCAGCCCCTCAAAGGTGTCAAAAGTAGGCGTTGGCTATGAAAAAAGGCGTTGGTCTAGCATGATACTGACTGAGATAACGGAGTGCCCTCATCTTTTACAATACATCTTATAATATCAAAACATACAATAGTCACCTAATTAATGCTGGGCTTTTTTAAAACGTAGGTGGGGGTTTTTTACGCCCCCAATTTAGATAAACTAAGGGGTGCGTTCCATCCCGCCTGTCATGGTCAACCCGTGCTGAGAGGGATACAGCATCCCAGCAGAAAGATCAAGATACGCGATAACAATTTACCTCATTCGGATATCAAATTCGGGTCTCTGCAAGCGGCGGCGGAGCGTCAAACCGCTAACCCATAGAAGCCGGTACTTATAACTGAGAAAAAGACAGAACCAGCACACGAAATGTCAAGACGTATCAACGAGACGATAGATAAGCTCGTCTCGAGTACGACCCATCTTTGACCGCTTCCAACAACCCACATGATTTGCGAATGTCCAATCAATAAGTGTATAAATAAACCCCAAGAGTGTACTGAGTAGGGGAGATGACCGGTTAACACACCAAGGCAACCTGTTACCCCCTGAGTCACCACTGCGGGGACAACGTGGGATGAAATAGTGCGGGAGAGTGCTGAGTTTGTGTGTGTGTATGTGTGTGTGTGTGTGTGTGTGTGTGTGTGTGTGTGTGTG